GGGGCAAAGCAGCGGCCCCGGCCGGCACAGCCGCGCTGGCCGAAACAGCCGGGCTGGCGAGCGTGGAGCACCTCCGCCCGGGAGTTTCCTAGTCTGTGGGCAATAAAAACGCGGCGTCCACTCACCCTCTGCGCTTTCACTGGGAGCTGCAATCCTGAGCTGTTCCTAAATGGCCATCTTGGATCAGCCTCCAAAATCAAGGTATTTTTAACTGCACTTTGAAACACAGAAAAGAGCTACACTGTTCAAGAGACAGTGAATCAAAAACAAAAATCTCGGCCCTTTTTGTTTTGGGGAGAGAGAACTTTCCTTCATTTAAACTTACACTATTTAGAAAATCACAAGATAATCTCTAATCACAGAGTATTTTGTGTAGAGCTAATTCATTTGCTTCAAAAATTTGGCTGAAATCAGTCTGTTTTGTCATTTTTACTAGGTTAAAGCCCTTAGCCATTGCATTTCAAGTTCTGTCTTGATAGAAACTGTAGGATGATGAAATAAACAGAGGAAGCTATTTTGGGGGGAAAAAACCCTATTTTTGTTTTAGAAGAAAAATATTTTGAAACAAATTACTATATTAGGTTTTTCTATAGATAGGAATAATAACAGTTTCAACTTTATAGGGTGTTATAAAGATGAGTTATTATTGAGAAATATTAAGTTTACCCTGCCCCCATTGCTCCCTCGTGGAGAATACCTTTTAGTTTGTCTGTAATCAGTGGTGAGCAGGTAACAGCTGCCTACTTGGTATTTTTTGAATTATGGGAAAGTACAAAACACCTGTTTGTTAATAATAGTCACCTGTTCAGAGAGAATAAATACATGGATTACAGCTGCTTGGGGCCTTCAGCCTATAATGCAATCAACCTCTGAGGCTCTCAGCTCAGTAGGCTGCCGGCCCCTGGATAGACCCACTTTGCTGTTCTATCTGGGTGTTTGCCTCTCATTTCCTTCAGCACTGCCTGGGTGGGGGTCTCCCAGCCTAGCTGGTACTTGGTAAGTTATCATTTTGTGTTAATATTAATAAGGAATTTAGAACAGTACTTTGCACATATTTTATGTTGTATAAGTGCTTGTTAAGTGCATAAATCTTAGAGAAATAAGTGTTAGTGATAATGTGCTGAGAGAGATAGTGGTCAGCGGTGTAATAGGAATATAGTAGGTGCCTGAATACTTGTGAGATTACTTATATTTGCTGGCCTAAACCACTCGGACAGTTCTGCAAAGAAATTCCAGGCAGAGTGTGATAACAGGTGGCTTATTTTCTCAAGTGATGAAAATGCTTTGTTTTTCTTTCCTTTGTTAGTGCCTCACTTCTTGTTGCTTGATTCTAGGAGAGTCTTTTAGATTTTTCTTTAAGGCTTTGGTGTTAGATTCCTTTGTTCAGAACGGGACCTTACCTTATGATGTAGCCCATTGAATTAGTATGACACAGTTTTTACATGGTGCATCCTTCTGAAATACACGCACATACAGAAGTTTCCCTTAGCAAGAATGCTGGATAAGCTTCTACTGAAGTTTGGGGTTTTTGCTTGTCAGAATATATTTTTCTCCTCGGGTAATTATTTTGTTGAAGGAAGGAATGATTGAGTTCTCTGGTTCTTTCTGCAGTAGGTTTAAACTTTGTGACAATTTTAACATTTCATATTTGCTTTTGACTTACAACTTTACAAAGCACTTTCTAGAAATTATCTCATTTGATTCTCATAACAACCTTATAAAGCATTAATATTATTCACTTTTTATCTGATGATGACACAGGTAGGAGAGAAAATGGAGTCTTACAGTGAATGAATTACCTACCCACTAACTAATTAACATCACCACTAACTGTGGAGCTAAGAGTCCCAGACCTAAGCTCTTCTCATCTCACCTTTATTCCATCAATTAAGATTTTAATTTTAAAACCGGAATCATGGCAAAACCATTTAAGATGGTTAGTGTATTTTTACTTTTTTTCAGGTAATATTTTATCCTTTCTCTCCAGTTGCTTAAAATAAAGTTTGAATATAACTTACCTACATATTAATGTCTTTAGTCTGAAGTTTTAGCTCTTAACGGTAGGCAGAATTCTAAAGATGATCCCCAGATTCCTATTCCTTGGTTACTCTATTAAACACTAATTACCACTGTGAAGGGACTTTGCAAATGTAATTAAGGTTACTAATAAGCTGACTTTAAAATAGGAAAATTAACCTGTATTTTCTGGGTGGGCCTGGTGTAATCACAAGAGTTCTTTAAAAGCCAAAAATGAAGTAGAAAAGGAAGCCAGAGGAATTCAAAGTGGGAGGCTCCAGTGCAGTGTTACTGGCTTGCAAGTGGAAGGGTCATGTGGAAAGTGTGAGAAAGAATTCTGCCAACAACCAGTGGGTCTGAGCCCCAGGTGGGAATTGTAGCCCTGGATGATACCTTGGATTGGGTGCATGGTACAGTTTGAATATGCTTTGTTTGTTCCCACCACATGTCATGCTGAAATTTCATCCCCAGTGTGGTGGTGTAGGGAGGTGGAGACTAGGGAGAAGTGTTTGGGTTATGGGGGTGGATCCCTCCTGAAAGGTTTTGTGCCCAAGATTCGGAGTGAGTTCTCCTTCTCGTGAGACTGGATTGGTTCTGGAGGAATGGATCAGTTCCTATAAGAGTGAGTTGTTCCAAATTCAGGACAACTGTCAGGTTTGGTCCCTCTTCACACATGCCTACTTGCCCTTTGATCTTGTCTGCTGTTATTTGATGCAGCACAAAAGCCATTGTCAGAAGCTTAGCAGATACCAGCAGGCCCCATGCTTCCTGTAGAGCCTGCAGAACCAGGGGCCAAATAAGCCTCTTCTTTATAAATCGCTCAGCCTCAAATATTCCTTTATAGCAACACAAAATGGATTAAGACAGTGTGGTGAGATCCTAAGCAGTGAATCTAGTAATGCTGTGCTGGACTTTTGGCCTGCAGAACTGTGAGACAGTAAATTAGTCCTGTTTTAAGTCTCTGTGGCTGTGATAATTTGTTATGCAGCCACAGAAAACCAATACAGGTCTGTACATTTAAAGTCTGTGAAATTCAAACAAAAATATTTGGTCTTTTTCTATATCACATTCTTGACCTTACTTATGAGATCCTTTTCCTGGATTCTGAGATGAGAGACTGGCAGCAGTCTCCATTTATCATTGTCAAATCCGCACAAGGCTCTAGGGGATCCTAAATGGCTTCTTCACATCTTATCAGGAGACTTTTACCATTCTCTGAGCAACAGTAACATTTCTCTATTTGTAAATAAAAGGAGTCTGAACCACGTCAGGAGGTCACGCATTTGGGCACTTCTAATAATGATAATGGTATCTACCAGACTGTCTACATACTGTTTCATCTGCCTGCACTTTGACCACAGCCATGCATTTCTAATATAGGAACTCTGTGGCCTTAGAATCCAGATTTTCTTTTTCCCTTTGTGTGACTATAGCTGGCTTCCTGACAGTGGGCCAAAGATTCCTTCATATAATTACCATGTACAGTCGGTATCCATGTTTTTTTATTTTTATTGTATTTGGCCTCTGGGGTACATGTGCACATCCTATATCCTGCAGGATTGTTGCATAGGTACATACATGACATAGTGGTTTGCTGTCTCCATCCACACCACCCCCTCTGCCCTGTTGCCTACATCAGGCATTTCTCCTGGTGTTAGCCCTAGCCCCGTCTCCCCCTACCCTGACAGCTTTATATGGTAGACATTTTGTCTGGACCAGGAATTCTATTCCTAGGTGTTATGGGTTGAATTGTGAAGGAATCTGAAGGAGAAGCTCTTGTATCCTGGTCCACTGTCAAGACAGAGCTGTCACAGCCCCAAGGTTGTAGACCCCAAGGGGCATACATTATTTGGAATTGACTAATTGGTCTAAATTTTGGCAGCTCACATTGAACTGTTAGATGGAGAATGAAGTTTAAATTTCAAGCATTTTCAAAATGCTGAAGGTTTTGTGGTGGGACTTCTCAGTCTTTGCTGTTTGCCTAAACTTGTCTAAACATATTCCTCAGAATGAAGTCTTAAGTCATCATTAGTTTCCACTTTCTTAATAAAGTTGAAGCAGTCATTTCTGGGATGGTGGTAGTGTGTGACATTTGTATTTAATAAAATTCAATTTAAATATTTAAAAAACAGCAATGACAAACATTTATATGTTCAAGTCTGAACCCATTCCCCTACCCCCGTATTACAGAATGTGATCATATTTTGAATTGGGTTATTGCAGATGTAATTAGTTAAAATAGGGTCATACTGGAGTAGGGTGGGCCCCTAACCCAATTTGACTGGTGTCCTTATAGAAAAGGAAAGTCTGGACACAGGAATAAAATTGTGTGGAAATGAGGACAGAGATTGGGGTGATACAAAACAAGTCAAGAAAAACCGGAGATTGACTGCAAAGCACAAGAAGCTGAGAGGAAGGCCTGAAAAGATCCCTTTCTCACTGCCTTCGAAGGAGCCAGCCCTACTACCACCTTGATCTCAGACTTCTATCCTATCCTCTAGAACTGTGAGATAATGCATTTCTGTTGCTTGAGCCACTCAGTTCGTAGACTTTTGTTATGGCAATCCTAGCAAAATAATAAACTAGGCAAGTTGGGAACTTTTCCCAGACTGGCCCTCATTGCAGCTGAAGGATGATAGGGATAAGCTGTCTCACATCCTCATGTCAATCTTACAATGTTCACATTTGTTGCAAAATTTTTTGACACTATCAAGGTGTTCTACAATTTGGTGTCATCTTTGTGTCTTTTCCAGGTCAAGTTTATCTACAGAACCATAAACTTATCAAAGCCCCAGATACTCCACTTAGAGGAATATCAAGTGACAGTTTCTAGTATAAAAGTATGAGTCATTAACATGAAATGGGCCAAATGTCTGAGTAATATTTTATTGCTCTTCAAAAAATGTAAGACTGAAAGAAATATTTTCAAAGAATCATGAGTTTCATAAAAAAGCACGTCAATGGGCTTTCTGGAGTTAAAAAAAAATCAATTCACTACTCCTTTACATCAATAAAAAAGTATAGATAAGGAAAAATACTGAGGACTAAGTTCTTACTAGTTCTTATAGCTCCATTTATTAAAAGTAAAAAAAAGTTGGGTATGTTTAACAGCATGCATCTTTCAAATAGAACATAATTTTACCAAACAAAATGTTATTTTTCTCATCTATGCATTTAGCAACCTTAAGAGTCAGTGTTTAACCACAGTGAGAAAAGTAAAAATCTAAGATTTGGAGAATGTGGATTTCATGTCTGTTTACTTGACATTATAGATGCATTTCAGCCATTGTCATAATCCTCGTCTGCCTGACTTCTTTAGCTGGGAAATGGGAGTGGATGAGTTGCCAATAGATTGTTCCCTAGAATGTTATGATATAATGTCTGTGAAAGTTCTTTAAGTGCTTTGAAAAATATGTTCAATATACATTTTTCCCAAAGAAAATATGAAAGCTATTTTTGTGTATGTGTGTGTGAAAGCTCATCTTTCACTGTGGTTTCTGAGTCGCCAGCTTATTGGAATCCTTTTCTACTAGGATTTGGTTGAAGATGGAGGAAACTGAAAAGGGCATGTTGGCTAGAGAGGATGAGAATAGCAATGGACAGGGTCTGCATCAAGGCACCAAGACTAGAAGCAGATAGGAGGAGAATTTGACTATTATGAGAATATATTTAGTACTAACATTGATTTCATTAACAGCATATGATAGTTTGCAAAATGCTGAGTTTGAGGTGATTTTTACATACGTGTATATACATATATTAATGTGTGATTTGTACATAAATGTTGGGTGATTTTATGTATGTGTATATATGTGCATGCACACTGTATACTTATATATATGTATACATTTGTGTGCACATATGTGTACACACAAAAATACACTGAAGCTTCATAGAATGAGATCATATATAAACAAGTACTTGATGTAAAGACTGGAGCAATATGGGGAAGATACACATTAGAATTTCCAGTTTTGGGCTGGGCGTGGTGGTTTACGCCTGTAATCTTAGCACTTTGGGAGGCCGAGGTGGGTGGATCATGAGGTCAAGAGTTCAAGACCAGGTTGGCCAACCTGGTGAAGCCCTGTTTCTACTAAACATACAAAAATTAGCTGGGTGCAGTGGTGTGTGCCTGTAGTCCTAGCCACACAGGAGGCTGAGGCAGGAGAATCGCTTGAACCCGGGAGGCAGACGTTGCAGTGGGCTGAGACGGTGCTACTGCACTCCAGCCTGGGCAAAGAGCAAGAATCTGTCTCAAAAAAAAAAAAAATTCCAGTTTTGAAAGATTAATCTAGCAACATTCACCTTTACATTTCTAAATTTGTATTCATAGATTCAGAGCCTTAGGAAAACCCTAAAATACAGGATTGTGACATGAAATTCAAGTAGGATAACTGGGGTACATTGTCTAAAAAACTCATTATAAAATCTTACTAATTTTTCCAGGCTCAGTTACTTTTTCTTTGAAGTGTTTCTGACCTCCCACTTTCCCCTTTTGATGCCCTCTGAACAAAGTTTATTCATTACACTAAAATAAAACTCGTCATTTTGCTTGCTTTCTTTCTCACACAAATACTTTTGAGGTTTGGTGCTGAGGCCACAGCAGTGAGTAAACATAACAGACACTGGCAAGAACTGGATTTTCATCTGTCCACAACTCAAAGCAGAGTGTCTGGTGCTTATAGGCACTCAACAAACATATTTGGTTCCACTGAATTCCTTGTGAATGTGTGGAATGTTTACTTGTACGCATCCTCATGTAAAGTTCTCACTTCTGCCTGAAGTCACTTACAATGGCTTTACCTCCCTGACTTCTTGTATTTATGGGTTGAATGATCAGGATCCCTAGCAGAGGCCTGACCAGAGTCAGTGTCAATAACTATTCACTGAATCAGTGAATGACATCTCCAGATTCTGCTGCTATGCAGTGTTTAGGAACTTAGCCTCTTGTATTAGTCTGTTTTCCACTACTGTAAATAACTACCTGAGACTTGGGTAATTTATAAAGAAAAGACATTTAATTGACTCTTCATTCCACATGGCTGGTAAGGGTTCAGGAAACTTACAATCATAGTGGAAAGCAAAGGAGAAGCAAGCATCTTCTTGGCAAGGTGGCAGGAGGGAGAGAGTGAGTGAGCTGGGGAAGTGCCACACTTTTAAACCACCAGATCTTGTGAGAACTCACTGATTATCACTAGAAGGGCATGGAGCAAATCCACTCTTATGATCCAATCGCCTCCCACCAGCTCCCTCCCCTGACATGTGGGGACTACAATTTGGCATGAGATTTGGGTGTGGACACAGAGTCAAATCATACCAGCTCTGTAGACATATTTGGATTTAAATCCTACCCTGACCTCTTAATAGCTTCGTGGTTACAGGCAAATTCCTCAATCTCTTTAATCCTTATCTGTAATGTGGAGATAATAGGATCTACTTATATGGTTGTTTGAAGACAAAATGAGATAATACATGTGATGTATAATATTTCTATGGTGTCAGTATTTCCTTTTTTATTTTATGACCTGTAATTACAAGGACCACTTCTATTCATGTTTACCTTCAGAACCTAGCTCAGTGCACCTTGGTTGGGCAGAGAGCAGCTTAGTGTTGGATAAATGACAAGATGATAGCGGGTAACTGGAATTTTCTAACGGTCCCTCCTGCCTATTCATATTCTTCCTGCTACGCTTCTCTTAACCTTTGGAAACTTCTCAGTATTCTCAATCTCTTGTGAATAATGTGGAAGAAATACAAACAAATCCTTTTAATGAGAATCAAAAAAAATGTTTGTTGCAGACCATATATCATGTATTCTAATTATTTTAAGTTGGAAGGCTTAGATAACTGAATCATTGGAAGGGCTGGAGAAACTGACTGTATGCTGAGGATCCAGGAAACATCTCCAAAACCACACCACAGAACTGACCTGGAAAGGGAGCAGTTGCTATTGCTAGATCAAGAAGCCATCATTGGTACCACCCAGAGCACCATATTATCATTGCTGCTACTGGCCCAAGCCACACTGCTTTTCCTTCCACCCACACCAGCAAAAAAGAGGCCCTGTGCTTTCTCATCTCCTCATTTAACTACCTTCTAAAACAAAGCCTCATGCAGGTGTACTGACTGTGCAATCTGTCACTTGCCTGCACCATTGCAGTAAATTTATGTTTTTGGATTCCATGTTGGGAAGGAAGTTTGGAGTGTTTTAGAGCTTGAAGAAAGTCAGTTTGCTGGAGTAGAGGCAGTAGGGGAGTGGGGCAGCCATGATACGCAGAAGAAATGGTTTACATGCAGGGATTTTGCTGCTCTGTGTGAAATATTAGGATGAGTATTAAATCTTTCAAAGAAAACTCAAGGAAAACAATAAACTGATTATTTATGTACCTCTCAATTTATATGCAGAAATCTAACCTCCAAGGTGTTGGTGTTGGGAGGTGCAGACTTTGGGAAATGATTAGGTTATGAGGGGGAGCCCTCATGATGACAGCCATTAGAACCCAGTCCCTAGAGTGCTAGCTTGTCCCTTCTACCATATGTGAGGACACAACTAGAAGGCACCATCTATGAACCAGAAGGTGGGCTTTCACTAGACAGCTAATATGTTGAAGCCTTGATCTTGTTCTTTCCAGGATTGAGAACAGGGAGAAACAAATTTCTGTTTTTTTGTAAGCCACACAGATAGTGGCAGTTTGTTATAGTCTAAATGGACCATGGAATGAAGGAAGGGAGGGAGGTAAGGGGAGAGAGGAGGGGAAAGAGAAAGAAACGAAAGGAAGGAAAGAAAAGAAATGAAAGAGAGGAAGGAAGAGAAAGAAGAAAAAAGAATAGAGAGACAGAGAGAGAGGTGGTAGAGGAAGAGGTAAGAGGGAGGAAAGGCTACACTGAGAAGTGGATTTGAGAACTGTTTTCTGGAACCAGATAGCTCCCATGAATTGTTTTCTTTGTGTGTGTGTGTGGAAGTAGGGGGAGTAAGGAAAGGTGTAGGCAGCTATTTAAATAAAACAATTTCAGATGCTATGAAGGTCTTTCTCCCTATCCAACCAAAACAAAAAATAAAACATAAAAACCCAACTAAAGTAACAACCATCGCAATAAAAGCACCTCCCCACTAGTTAACACATCTATGTGTTTCAGCTCTATCTATGTCCCTGAAAAGGAAATGATCTTATTTTTAAAAAATATGGCTGCATAGTATTCCATGGTGTATATTTACCACATTTTCTTTATACAGTCTATCACTGATGGGCATTAAGTTTGATTTAATGTTTTTCCTATTGTCAATATTACTGCAATGAACATATGTGTGCATGCGTCTTTATAATATAATGATTTATATTCCTTTGGGCATATATGCCCAGTAATGGGATTACTGGGTCAAATGGTATTTGTCTTTGGGTCTTTGAGGAATCACCACGTTGTCTTCTGGCTAGCTATATGCAGAAGATTAAAACTGGATCCCTTTCTTACACCATATACAAAAATCAACTCAAGATGTATTAGATATAAAACCCACAACTGTAATAACCCTGGAAGACAACCTAGGCAATACCACTCAGGACATAGACACAGACAAAGATTTCATGATGAACATGCCAAAAGCAATTGCAAAAAATCACAAATTGACAAATGGAATCTAATTAAACTAAAATGTTTTTGCACAGCAAAAGAAACTATCGACACAGCGAGCAGACAACCTACAGACAGAACGGGAGAAAATTTTTGCTCCCCCTTGAATTTTACTTCGGTTTCAATGGCTTACTCTTCAGATATCCCATAAGGATAGGGAAGGGGGGATTGCTTGATTTTTAAATGACTGTATTTAGGAGCAGAAAATGAGTCTTCTATATATGGAGAACATTTCTGGACTCAAATCATAGAGGAAACGTGTTTACATCTGTTGATTTATTTGAATAAGTAAGGGTCACATGGATTTTTCTCTTGGGTATTTCTTGCCAGGGCACCTGCTCTTGAAACTGAGTAAACATTTCAGGTTCCTGCCTTAGGCCAGGTCCCTGTGACTGTTAGTTACCAATGAGAGAATTTTCAACCAGCCTAAAATCCAAGTCTGTCTCACCTCAGATAAAAAAATCTCTAAATTTCTTTCTCTGAGGGAAAAGGGTATAAGCAAGCTGTGAAATTGCTTCTTTAAGATCAAACATAGGTTTTGCTTTAGGCGCCAGCTCAGTACTCCTCAGAATTTACTGAATTCTTTAAAATGCTATTACCAGGCTGGGCATGGTGGCTCATGTCTGTAATCCTAGCACTTCAGGAGGCCGAGGTGGGTGAATCATTTGATGTCAGGAGTTCGAGAACAGCCTGGCCAACATGGTGAAACCCCATCTCTATTAAAAATACAAAAATTAACCAGGTATGGTGGCATGTGCCTGTAAACCCCGCCACTCGGGAGGTGAGGCAGGAGAATTGCTTGAGCCTGGGGGGCAGAGGTTGTGGTGAGCCAAGATAGTGCCACTGCACTCCAGTCTGGGAGACAGAGTGAGACCCTGTCTCAAAATAATAATAACGCTATTACCAATAGAAATTTTACTTTACAGTGAAATTGAAAGTAGCTTATGAAATTCTCAAATGCAAAATTTAATCACTTTCATATAATTAAAATAATATGTTATATGAACATTAGAAGATATATGAAAGCACAAAGAAAAAAATTACCTATAAATATGCTGAATATTTTAGATATGGATAGATATGGCATTTACTGAGTCATTCTAGGTATTTGCTATATTCTGAATTTGTGTCACACTAAAATTTATGTGTTGAAACCTAATACCCAAGGTTTTGATGTTTAGAGGTGGACCTTTGGAAAGTAATTAGGTCATGAGGGCAGAGCACTCGTGAATGGGCTTAATCCCCTTCTAAAAGAGATCCAGACAGCTTTCCTGCCCCTTCTGCTATGTGAGAACACAGTGAGCAAATGGGCATCTGTGAACCGAGAAGCAGAACCTCACCCAACGGTGAATCTGCAGGCACCTTGATCTTGGACTTCTCAGTCTCCCAGACTGTGAGAAATAAATTTCTGTTGTGTATAAACTACTCAAATGTGGTATTTTGTTATAGCAGCCTGAATGAACAAAGATAGTATTATATGTATTATCTTATTTAACTCTCATGACACTTCTATGAGCTAAGTACAATTAGTCTTTCCATTTCACATACTAAGAGAATGAGATTTAGAAAGGGAAAATGACTTGACCAAATTCACACAGAAAGTTGTGAAACCTGAATTTCAACTCAGGCAGTCTGATTTGCAGTTCTGTTCTGTTAACCCCTATTGTGGTATTCATAGAATGTACATGACCCTAAATTTCTAACAGATGGAAGAGTGTGTACATGCATCTGTTAGAAATTTAGGGTCATATACACTCTATGAATACCTGCTTTCTTTTCAGTTGGCTATAAATGTTTCTTGATGTCATTAAGCTTTTTTCTATGACATAATTTTGGAATATGGCATGGTTATCCATTGTATGGCATAATGTGTTTATATAAAACCTTATGATTAGACATTAAAAGTAAATTCTTAGATAAATATCACTCATAAGCATGAAAATTTCTACAGAACACATTCCTAAAAGGGAATTGCTTGGTCAAATAAGCATATTTTTTAAAGCTTTCACTATGTATTGGACAAATCATTCTACAAAATTGTTGCAACTTTTCCTCTAAACTAGGGGTATGTGACTATTGCCCACAGGCCAAATCTGGCTCACAGCTTGTTTCTGGTTATAAAGTTTTATTGGAACACAGTCATGTCCTTTGTCTATGGCTGCTTTTATGCTGCAACAGCAGAATTTAGTAGTTGTAGCAGAGACACATATGGCCCATAATGCTGGAAATATTTACTATTTAGTCTTTGACAGAAAAGAGTCACATTACTCTTTCTAAATAGATTATACAAGTACAAATTTCCCTCCATTCCTATAAATCTTGGATGTAGATAGATGAGTGGGAAGATATACAGATGGTCACAAATCTGATAGACTAATATTTCAATGTTGAAAAAAATTTGTTTACTAGCCATTTACATTTCTGCTTTTGTGTCCATGATCTCTTTTTAAAATGTATTTATTTGCTATTTTGTTTGTTGACTGTTTATAAATTAAATAGATTTATACTTTGCTTGACACATATGTCTTTTAGTTGTCTATTTATAATGGTTCATGATATAAATAAGTTTTTTATTTTGTAGTGATGTCTACAAATCTTTCCTTTTAGAGTTCCTTCCTTCAATTACTGACAAAGTCCTGTCTTTTGTGCTTTGTGCATATTCACATACATTTTTCACCTGGCTCTTGTATAGTTTATATATTTGTTTATTCATTTACTTTCTAACTCTAATTTATCTGGAGTATATTTTGGATAAGATTGTAAAGTGAAGACCTAGTTAAAAATTTCTAGACACTTAGGCAGTTATTCTAGCATAATGAATGGGACAATCTTTTTGTTGCTGATTCACAGTTCTACTGTTATACTAAATTCTGATTTAGTGTCCCTTTGTGCCTTTTCTGTGATAGTTCACTTATTCCAACTGTTCTCATGTTATTCACTAGATCTTAATCAGTATTTTAGAAAATTTTAAAATTTTATTTTTATAATAAATGATAGTTGTACATAT